ATATATATATATATGTATCCCAGTTACAGCATTAGAGATAATCAGTGAAATATGTCTGAGTTAGCTGGATAAACTTAGAGAGCATCAAGGCTCCTCCTTCCCCATAAAGTAATATATTTCCATGCAATGCAATGTATTTCCACATATAGTAATTTACATAACAACCACAACAAAAAAAAACCCCAACCAACCAACCAAAAAACCAACCAACCAACCAACCAAAGCCCAGTTTTATTGAAACACATGACAAGAAGTACTTGTTTAATGCATTTTTACCAAGGAAGATACTTATTATGTCAGAGAAAAAAAAAGGACTAAAAATGAAATGTGGAGTTTTTTTGGAAATTCTCTCCATTCTGCCAACATGCTTAAAAGTAAGTGTTCATTTAAGTGCTTTGGTAAATAGTGGCTTAAATATGCATGTTGTAAAACTATAAGTGACATGAAACACCAAAACTCTATTAATTGAGTCAATTAATAGAGTTCATAGAATCACAGAATTTAAGGGTTGGGAATGGACCTTAGAGATCATCTAGTCCCAACCCCTGCCCTGGGCAGGGACACCTCCCACCAGAGCAGGTTGCTCAAGGCTCATCCAACCTGGCTGTGAACACTGCCAGGGTTGGGGCAGCCACAGCCTCCCTGGGCAACCTGGGACAGTGTCTCACCAATTGTGTAGAGCAATAAGACAGTTTATATTGAAGCAACCAAATTGTTTTCTTGAAACTACAGGCATTGTATCCATTTGCACCAAAAAAAAGACTTACTGATTGCAGAGTCATAGGAAGTTGAGTTGTGTTCATCTCGGAGAAGAGGAAACGGTGACAGGTAAGCATGTGTACAGTTCTTAGAAGGTGACTGGTTAGCTAAAAAGGAGAGAAAGCTAAAGGTTAATATTTCACAGCCTTCACAACATTTTGTGTCTGCTCTTTAAATGAGCAAACTGAGTTTCAGAGGTCAAGATTTCAGGTTCTTCCCCAGGCAACAGCTTACAGTGGATTTGGTTTGGTAAGAGATACCAGCCTTGTTATTCAACCAAGGATACTCCTTAAAAAGCAACACAGATTTGTCCTATGGGAAGAGTAAAGCAGCTTTGCTGAAGCTTAAATTTATATGTGATGCATACATATGCTTTTATAGGCCTCACTTTTGAGGATGAATTATGTCCATCTCATTACTGCATGTCCCACACAAAAGAAAACCCAAAAAAGCCCCATTAAAAATGACTAGGAAATGACTTTTTCTTTTGTAAAAGAACAATGGAAAACATCAAGCATCTTCAGAAGGTTTACAGTGCTCAAAATATGCATTTAGCTTATGGAATCAATATCCCCCAGAGAAGGGACATTTCCCCCTTTGTATTAAATGCTTATGAAACCATCACCTTCTTCCTGGTGAAAGATAAAGGCTGACTATAGCTTAAACCAAATTTAAATTTCAGATTCCTGACCACAGGATTCTCCAGAAAAAGAGGGAATTAACTACAGCAAAAATTTGATTTCCCACCCCAGACTAATCAATGTATTTAGCAGAATATGGGTCATTGAAGTCAATTTTGTATGATGGGACTTGGTTTTCACAAGGATTGTGGAAATCTTGAAATAAGGAGAGGGAGCTCTCTACCTCAGAAAGAGGGTCAGAGACAGGAAAAGAAGTTCTTCTTCAAGGGAGGTTTTGGTTGTAAAACACTATCTGATCTTCCAAAATCCTAGCACATAGTGAAAAAAAGCAAAGGGTCATCTGTGAATTTAGTACAGGAATTCTTCCGGAGATGGTGTGTCCTACACCATTTTCACTGTGGAATTGTCCATTCTCTCCTTAACCCACTTGTAGAACTAGCTTGAGAAACTCTCCAAGCAAAGATTTATGCACCAGGCATAAGACAGAAATAAGTTATCTGTCTAACAATAAGTGGCAAGAGACTGTGTAGATAAGAATGGACTTAGGCTAACTTGAGGCTCACAAAAGGTCTAGAAAATATGTCATATGAGGAAGGGCTGAGGGAGTTGGGTTTGTTCAGCCTTGAGAAGAGGCTCAGGGGTGACCTCCTGGCTCTCTGCAACTCCCTGCCAGGGTTGGAGAGAGGTGAGGGATGTGTGTCCTGCCATGGCTGCAGGGAGAGGACTAGAGGGAATGGCCTTGAGCTGAGACAGGGGAGAGTCAGATTGGATTTGAGGATAAATATTTTCTCTGTGAGGGTGTTCAGACATTGGAATAGATTGCCCAGGGAGGTGGTGGAGTCACAAGCAACGCATGCAAAAACTTTGACACAAAAGCATTCTTATGCCCAACTAGGCAGGTTAATGGTTGGATTTGATGATCTTAGAGGTCTCCTCCAACCCTGATGATTCTATGATTCTAACAGGGCAGCCATAACAATCACAGCATAACTTGATAGTTAAACTTGCATCATTTTGTCCTGGGGTTTCCTTTAGTACAGATTACAAAAGTGTGTGTCAAGAATTTATTTTAGGGTAGCTGAAGCACCTGATTGCCAAAGATGCCATGTGAAATCCAATGATTCATTAGATGGGAAAAAAAACAACCAATCAACAAAATCCAATTATTTTGAGAACAAACTATTGTAGGTAATATAAAAGTAAAATGTTACTTACTATACCAGAACTTCCACATGCTGGCATTATTTTCTCCTACATTTCCACTAAACCAGCACCTCCAGAAGAAACCTTCATGATGGAAAGTGGCCTTCTCTCCCTATGGAGAGAAGGGAAAAAAAATCCATTATCATACAATATTTAAATGGCTGAAATCATCAAGTTCAATTCAAATTAGATACTGAGATAAAATACACCATCCTCATAATGACACACAACCTGTCTGAATATAGGCTATACCATATAGCTATACCATATCTAAGCAATTATACTTCTTTGAAAAGAATATCATATTGCAAAGGCAGTATCAGAAAAGAAAAATTCATTTTAGAGCTGATTACAACTGATTATAAGAAGTTTTGAAGGAGGCTTGTAAGCCTCTAGAAGGTCAAAATGAGTCTATTCAAAACTTCATACCGAAGTAAATTCTTAGAAAACAAACACATCCAAGAAACCTACCTATAAAACTCTCATTATAAGGTAAAAAGTCCATACTAACCCCAGCATCTTCAGGTGGTTGTGAACACGTTCCTATTTCCGTAGCAAGAAGCCAATAATCAGTTCCAAATGCCACCAAAAAAAGCAAAACTCCCAGAGCTGCAAAGAAGCCTCCAAAAAATATTCCCACACTCAGTTTCATTATCAAATGATTTAAAAATAATAATAATAATAAAAAAGTTTAATTTCTTAAGAGGTTTGCAGTCAAATTATCATGAAAGCGACTAAAAAAAGGTCTGGAAAATATGGCTCATATCTGAAGAAGTTTCTCTTCACTTGACTTTCTGCCTGTGCCCTTCTTCCCAATGCCCTGTGAGTCGATTTGTGTCTCCGAATTTCTGTTCCATGTGGCTGACTCAAGGCTGACAGATGAAAAGGGCCTTCTATTTTAGGACACTGATGGCAGAGCTTTGCTCTGTTTCTCTGCCTGGGTGAGGCCAGTCAGAAATAGCTGACCTTCCCCTAACTAATCAGGGATTGACTTGAAATATTATTGCAGCTGGTGCATCAACATCAGTGGAGATGGAGTTGCAATAGCTCTGTCTATGTAAACTCTGTTACAGGGCACACACTAGTGGCAAGGACTTCCAAAGTTCAGACCTGGTGGTGAATGTTGCCTTAGCTGCTAGCAGGGAGAGAAATACCTGAAACACTTTGGAAGTTACTATAATCACAGAATAATCACAGAATCAGTTTGGGTAGAAGGGACCACAATGGGTCATCTGGTCCAACCTCCCTACTCCAGCAGGGCCACCCTAGAGCACATGGCTCAGGGTTGTGTCCAGATGATTCTTGAACACCTTCATTGAGGGAGAATCCACAACCTCTGTTCAGTGCTCAGTGACTGCACAGGAAAGTTCTTCCTCATATTCAGGTGGAACTTCCTGTACATCAATTTTTGCTGTTACCTCTTGTTTTATTGGTTTCTCCCACTGAGAATAGTCTGGTTCCATCATCTTGGCACGTCCCATTCATGGACTTGAATACATTCATGAGGTCCCTCTCAGTCATCTCTTCTGGAGACTGAACAGCCCCAACTCCCTCAGCCTTTCCTCATCACTGAGGTGCTCCAGTCCCTTCTAACATCTTTGCTGCCCTCC